GGGACCAGGCTTGTTTTTTTGTAGCTTTTCAGGTGATCCCAGTTGAACCACTGGGCTAGATGGAGTGAATGGCCCCTGTAGTAGCAGGAATATGACTTTGTTTACTATCCTGGTTCCTAGGAGTTACTCAAAGTCTATATTGAAAGAGTGGTATTATCTCTGTGAGAAAGGGCTGATCCACCCTGAGTTCTTGGATTAGGTGGTGAAGCTTGGACTTATCAGCCATCAGTCCTGCCAACATTCCTTGTGAGGCTCCAAGCCTGTCTCACAATGACTGTCTTCCATTGGTGCTCTCTCTGTTTTTTTTTTTTTTTTTTTTTTTTTAAAAGACAGACCTTGCTCTCTGTTGCCCAGGTTGGAGCAGTGGTAGGTGATCTTGGCTCACTGCAGCCTCAACCTCCCAGGCCCAGGTGATTCTCCTACCTCAGCCTCTTGGAGTAACCTGAAACTCAGACGTGTGCCACTACAACAGCTAATGTTGGTACTTTTTGTAGAGATGGGGTTTTGCCATGTTGCCGAGGCTGGTCTCAGACTACTGACCTCGAGAGGTCTGCCTGCCTCCACCTCCCAAAGTGCTGGGATTACACATGTGAGCCACTGCACCAGGCCTTATTGGTGCTCTCGCTGTTGAAGGATTTTCATTTGTTGTCTTGGTTAGGAACAGACTACAGGCAATCCATTCCAATTCAAAAACCTTTTGTTTTCCTTCACACAAACATGTTGGAGCAGGCAGGAGAATAAAGAACGTGAGCATTTTTCCCATATATTAGTTGGCAATGATTTTGAAGGTTGCAGCAAAGCATATGCTTCGAGAAATAATCTCGTCTGTCCTGGAGGAGAATTCTTGCTAGGATTTGGTGGCATCTGGGTTACTTGCAGATCACTTCCCAGGTGGCCTTACTTGGATTGTTTTTGGTCTTTTGCTTATATTGCCTTAAAACTCCATCCTGCCCACTTTGTTGGCCTTGCATATTTCTCCGTGTGCCTCTGGTAGAGGCAGTACCTGTCAACCTGGAACCTGTCAGGGCTTGTCAGCTTTTGCCCGCAGAGTCATTCTTGGCTCCTGAGCAACTGCTGACAGTGCTGATCCGTGAGGCCTACACCTGGTCCTAAGGAGCAGCCTGCCCAGAGGATGTCTTTGGAAGAAGGACTGCTGGTCTTAAAGCATGTCTTTCTCTGGGGTGGAATTTTAGGTTTCCATAGCTCAGAGGAGACCTGTACATAAGAGAGACAAAGACAGACAGACACATGGGCACATACATTTCCCCTTTCAATAATCTGTCAAACTGAAATCCAGAGTTAAGTAGTGGGGTTTGCAGCATTTTGAGTGCTAAATACACAGGTCAAGTTCACCCATTGGGTGGTGGGCACTGGGGAGCTGAGGACTGCTTCTTTTTCTTCTGGGAAAGCTAGCCCAATTCAAAGGATCTTGGCAGCTGACCCACAGGAACCCAGATTCTAGACATGTAGAAGCCCTCTGTGAATGATGGCATAGTGTAGTATAGATCAAGTCACATAAACCTGCCAGTCTTTTAATCTATAAAATGGGCAAGGAAACGTAAGTATCATTTCACCTTCACAAAGATTTTATGAGAATAGATTAAATAAACGTGAAAGGCACCCTGCAATAGCAAGGTATAATAATTTACATTGCTGTGGTCCAGCTAGGCTATAACCTTGTTATTATATTATCTGAGGCAATGTTATATGCCTGAGCAGACTCCATATTGCTATTTAATAGCTCTGCCTAATTAACTCTTCAAGAGAGAAGAAAACTTTAGAGGAAAGTCTGGTCTTTATCATAAACCTCCCAAGATTGGAGACATGTCTAATGGAGGAAGATATTCCGCTTTATAAATGTTGCGGAAGGCTGAGACGGGGCTCGCCTCCCTGTATCCCAGATTTTTGGGGGAGGCCGAGGGTGGATCACTTGAGGTCTGAGTCTGACCAGCCTGGCTAACATGGCAAAACCCCATCTCTACTAATATTAAAAATTAACTGGGTGTGGTGGCGGCACCTGTAATCCCAGCTACTTGGGAGGCTGAGGCAGGAGAATCGCTTGAACCCAGGAGGTGAGGTTGCAGGAGCTGAGATCAATTACTGTGCTCTGGCTTGGGTGACAGAGTGAGAACCTGTCTCCAAAAGAAAAAAGTGTTGTGTAGTGCACGCTGTTATGGGGTCTGGAGTCCTGAGCTGTTCTCGGACTCTGTAAGTGGTTCTAGTAGACTTACTGGCAGATCTGAGGAAATGAGAATTTTAATTATAAATTGAATTACATTATTAAAAGTTATACCAGTGTCTACAAATCCATCCTAGTATTTGAAGATAAAAATGTATTCGCTGTGTTAGTTACTATAGATTCTTCTTATCTCAGTCCTGGAATTTTATAATTTTATAGAGACCATAGCAAAAGTAACATGAATGAGATCCATATAATTAAAAGGTATTCTGTCATTTATGATGGTTTCAGCTGCAGCAGAGAAGAGTAATTCTCATGGGCCTGGACAATAAGGAAATTCATTGTCACATAGTGGAGTCCTCTGGAGGTGGAGTGGGATTTCCCATAGGTGGATTCAGTGGCTCAGTGGTGTCATTGGTTTGCCGGCTTCCCTCTAGAGTGTGGATACATGCTGAGTCTCTTGGGGAGAGGTGGCTACCCAACACTTCCAGGGTTCTAGTACTTAGGAAGGAGAAATGGGGGAAGGTTGCTGCATAGATGTCCAACAGTATCCAGGACACCTCCCCTGTGTATTTCAAGTCTCTTTGCTAATTTTCCATATGAAACTGCACAGACAGAGGAAGATTGGTACAGATTTTTTTTTTTTTTTTTTTTTTTTTTTGAGAGAGAGTCTCGCTCTGTCACCAGGCTGGAGTGCACAGCGTGATCTCAGGCCTGCCACTGCAACCTCCGCCTCCTGGGTTCAAGCAATTCTTCTGCCTCAGTCTCCTGAGTAGCTGGGATTACAGGCACCCGCCACTACACCCAGCTAATTTTTGTATTTTTAGTCGAGATGGGGTTTCACCATTTTGACCAGGATTGTCCTGATCTCTGATCTCGTAATTCGCCCACCTCAGCCTCCCAAAGTGCTGGGATTACAGGCGTGAGCCACGGCGCCACTGGTACTGATGTTTGTACTGCAGTGAACTTTGTTGAACTTGGTGGTAGGCTTATTTACCCTTAATGGGAAAGATCTCAGGTGATAACTTGGCCTTGTGTTCTTTCACTGTAAGTTGACAAGGATATATAAGCAGGTTGTAAGCCAGATTCAGCAAGCCCTAACCTCATAGCCTCATTTGCATATTATCTCTATCCCAAGTGAAAGGCCTTTAAGCTCAGATCTGGGAAACCTCTAAAGTCCCAGGAGCTTAATGTGAGACAGTTTTCATAAAATCATTTCGCTTTAAGGGCATTGTTGGAGATGTTGCTTTTCATTAATGATCTTAAATGAAACCAAGGAGTCAGGCAAGATGGAAGATGAGATTTGGAATAGGCAGTCTTGTCTAAGAAAGAATTGTTTGTGGTAAAGTATTTTACTCCATGTCTTTGAGAGATCATGAGTCTAAGTATAAGAAAATTGGAGATAAAGTTGGCAAACATTTAGCTCTTCCAGTTGTTTATTTCCAGTAGATTCAGTTGTTTGAAATTCTGACTGAATGGGACTGAAATAGTAGATTTTCCTCAGAACTGTTATTAAAATAGGAGATCCGACTGCTCAAATGAACTTTGGATGTGGTTCTAATTGAGGTTTGAAGTAATTGTGCTGTTGAAGTTACTGGATGGTGTTGAGCCATCCTTTGCAGTACATAGTCTGCAAATGATTTGAATTGCTCTTCTCATTGTTGGCAATTTGAAGTTATCTGAATGACAGCCAGCCTTGATCGATCAAAGGAGTTGGGGAAGAAAGGACTCCATCCTCAGGCCTTCGAGCACTGATGTTAATGATAATAACTGGGAGGCAGAGGGCACCAGAGTGGGGTGGTTTACAGATGCAGACAGTCCAGCATTCCACCAGCTATGCATGGAAGCCATGCAGCAGTGTAGCAGCAGGGTTTCATGGCTTCAGAAACCTAAAGAAAGGAGGCAGAAGCATCAAGAGGCACTCAGATGTGATGGGGGGGTAGAACAGAACAGCCACTGTTGTCTGAGCTGCCGTAACACTGGAAAAAGCTTGCAGCTCTCTGTGTGCACGGAAATTTGCTGAGTGTGCCTAGCGTGTAAATAGCTCTGTGGCTCTTATTCATCCCTAGGTATTGGTTACTCACAATAATGATGCCATGTCTGTAAAGAGACTTTAAATCATGTACACTGCACTGTTTAGGAAAGCATTGAGGTATGTGATGTCTTTTAGCTGGGAACATTCATCAAAACAAAGTTGAGTAAAAGCTGGAGTGTCACTTCAGTTTCTGGGACAAACAACTTGGGGCCCCATCTTTCATCTTTTTCAGACTGACATTGACGACATTAGGAATTCTTTTGGTTTACAGCCTTCAATTTTTTTTTCCTTTCTGTGGGTCAAAACTGAAGAAAATAAAAATAAAATCATTTTTAATGCAGCCACTGAGAATAACTGCAGTTAACTCTTGGTACTATCTTTCCAGTGACGCCTGTATATGTATTTTAAAAGAAAGTAAAAGTAGGTTCATACTGCAAGTACTATTCACGTATTAAATACAGTTTCCTACGCTAGAATCTACACTTCCTCTCAAGGCCCGCTGTATTTTCCTTAAGTGGTGCTTTAACTGTAGTAGTTTTATAGTAGAACTAAGCAGAGTTTTGATTGACCTACAGCCATGTATTTTATTATATGGGATCCTATAGAAAGTCCTGATTCAAATATCAAACATCAGGAAGATTTGAAGATGTTAAATGTCAGTTTTAGAGTTTGTGTGACTCTTATAAGTCAGAGATTTAGAGTATTTAATGCAGTGAATCAGAAGTTCCTTATGTGTATGTATTTTGAAGGATCCATTATAAAATAAAATATTTTCTTTCTCTTTAGCATTCTCTGGATATTCAACAAATACAAAGTATGACCCACACCAAATTAAAGCAGAAATAGCAAGTCAAGCCGGGATAGGGTGAGTAAAACGATGCTTATAACCAGGTGGATGGAAGCTCGAGGCCTCGTGAGCCTAGGCTGCTGGCTCTCTGCTGACTTCCTCCTGAGGGATGGCTAGCAGTGTTAGACTGGAAGGTTCTGAGGGTTCTGATGCTCCTTCCCGGTAACCCTGAATTATCTATGTATCACTGTGAGCCATCTCTTCAGACCTTGTGTCTTGGTTGTCTGGGAAGGGGAACACTTTTATACTGGGATAAAGCACGAAACATCTTGGCAATGAAGCCTGCTCTCTGGTGTGTCATTCTGAATCAGGTGTATCTTTAGTGCAGTGGTTCTCAAATTTTAGCACAGCTAAGAAAAATACCTGGGAGCTTGTTCAAAGTGCCAGCTTCCAGGCCTAGCCCCTGAGTTTTGACGGACTGGATGCCCCAGAATCTGTTTAAAGAAGTACTCCAGGAGCCATTGAGTTTTCAGGTAGTCGAGAGCAGGCTTCTGGACACAAAGTTTGCCATGTGCGGGAGTCTGAGAGGGGTGGGTAGAAGGAAAGATGAAGAATGTGTTACAAAAGTTGCCAGTTGTAATGTGGAAACCTTGAAAATGTTACTGGTGCCCTCACTCTGGGTAAGAGTCTGTCTAATCTGGGATTTTTGTATCTAAGCACAGCAGGTCTTCTAGAAAGGCTACTTCTTATGCATGTGAATGGAAGTTTATAGTGAGAAGAGATGATCTTCTGAACTGCAAGCTGAGTAGAAACTCAGATGATGCAGTGTTAATAATAACCAGAAATCATTCTTTGCAGCTGGTTTTTGGAAAAAATGTGATTTGTCTTTTAGTCAGATTAAAACGAGAGCTGACTCAGATGAAGCAGGAACTGCAGTACAAAGAAAAGGGGGTGAGACCCTGGCAAGAGTGAGTTGCCTGGACACTTGTTCCTAAGCTTCATGACCTTCACTTTCATGCCTTTATTTATGCTCATGATTTTCCAATGCTAACTTTAGAATCTCTTTCCTTTGAAGATATTTCGTTGCTGTAAAATGGAAATACTCGGGAAACAAGACCTTTATTTTATGGTTATGCACGCTTGCTATAGCTGTGCAAGACACTATGGCTAGTTACATTTTAAATTAGACTTTTCTAGTTTTATTCTTTTAAATTTTTTGTTCTAAAATTGACATTTAAAAGGAAAGAAAATTAAAAGTTTAGTTTCCCAGTTCTAGTATATAACACTAGTACTTTAGTAGTGACATGTGGCTAATGCAGGTTTTCCACCATTTAGCACTAGTGGGATTTGGGGCTGGATCATTCTTGTCTTGGGGGGACTATTCTATGCACTGTGGTGAACGCTGTCTCTGGCCAGGCCTGGTGGCTCATGCCCGTAATCCCAACACTTGGGAGGCCGAGGCGGGTGAATCACCTGAGGTCAGGAGTTCGAGACGAGCCTGGCCAACATGGAGAAACCCCATCTCTACTAAAAATACAAACGTTAGCCAGGCGTGGTGGTGCATGCCTGTAATCCCAGCTACTCGGGAGGCTGAGGCACAAGAATCACTTGCGGCACCTGTAATCCCAGCCACTCGGGAGGCTGAGGCAGGAGAATCTCTTGAACCTGGAAGACCGAGCTTGCAGTGAGCCAAGATTGTGCCAGACCTAGCTTGCTCGACAGAGCGAGACTCTAAGAAAAAAAAAGAATGTTGTCTTTACTTTACCCACTAGATGCCAGTAGCATCTTCCACCTACCAGACAATCAAAATGTTTCTAGGCATTGCTGAGTGTCCTAAAGAACACATTTAATCCCAGCTGAGAACCACCACACATAGCATTGCATTGAACACTATAGGCAATAGATTTCCATCATCGAGAAAGCTCCTTTGGACATCTGGTCTGTAGGTCTTCCTCCTGTTCTCATTTTTGCAATTAAACTTTATCCCTACTAAGAGATTGGGGATGAAATTGTTATAATTAGTGAAATGTATCAAGTCTGAAGATTTCATGACCAAAGGTGGTGTTTGGAGAAATGGCGCTGGTGTGGGTCTGAAGGCTACGAGCCATTCTGTCCATTCACTGGCTTTCTGCTGAACTTGCACATGCCTCAGCCGCCTTCTGCACCTACTTTTTCATCTGCAAATGGTGATTGTTTTTAGGTAGCTCAGGCTGCTATGACAAATACCATAGACTGGGTGGCTTGACAGCAGATATTTACTTTGCAGTTCTGGAGGCTTAGGTCCAATATTTGGTTCCTGGTGAGGGCTTGATTCCTGATTTGCAGATGACCATCTTGTCGCAATGTCCTTTATGTTGTAGAGAGCAAAGCTCTGTTCTCTTCCTTTGCCTAATCCCATCATGGGAACTTCACCCCAGACTTCATCTACCCCAAATCACTCCTCCAAAGGCCTCACCTTCAAATGCCACCATTAGAGGGTAAGGCTGCACATAAGAATTACAGCCACACAAACACACAGTCCATAACAGCAATCATTGTGCCTGAAGACATTATGACAGCACCAGCACCCGTACATGGCCAGCCAGAAATAATTAGCCTGACTTGTGTGGCATTATGATATATTGACAGGCAGGCATGTTGCCTCTTTCACCTAAGGCAGACGCATGAAGTGAACACACTGCAGCACTGCTTTATGGCTAAGTAATAAAGGAATGAGGTATAGATGAATACTAATTTAATACCCAGCTATGTGTTTGTGTGCATTTTGGATTCATAATTGCAGCTTCCTTTTATATTAGCCCTAGTTAGTATTGCTAGTGTGTTTCTTTGTTTTTTTTTTTTTTTTTTTTTTTTTTTTTTGACAGAGCCTTTGCTGTGTCCCAGGCTGGAGTGCAGTGGTAGTCTTGGCTGACACACTTCTCCCAGGTGTCTGCCAAGTATTCTCGTGCCTCAGTCTCCCAGTAGCTGGGATTATAGGTGCCTGCCACCACACCTGGCTAATTTTTGTATTTTAGTAGAGATGGGGTTTTGCCACATTGGCCAGGCTGGTTTCCAACTCCTGACCTCAGGCTATCAGCTCCACCTCGGCCTCCTGCTGGGATTACAGGCATGAGCCACCATGCCCGGCCTCTTCTTTAGTTTTATCTTAAGCAAATCAAGTTTCTTTTCCAGCCAACCAGCTGCTGGTTTTGTCATTCATGCAGTGCATAAGCCAGAGTGCTTTCCAAATGCACTGACATGTGTTCTGTCCTTTTTTAGCCCCACTCCAGCCAGCTCCAGATACTCCAACACCTCCTCAGATGAAATGCCTTCCTCAAAGGCTGTGGCAGTGTTGGTCCTGCCAGTCACTTTGGCTAAGGGAGGATATGAATAAGCAGCAACAATCATTTGATTTGTGAGGTCACCAAAGTTATTAGGACTACCTAGCTGGATTCCTGAGGTGAATTTCCTCTACTCTCATTAGGTCGCCACTGTAGCTGTCTCTCATTGTGATACAGTGTCTGTGGGCAGCTAGTTGTTTTTTGTTTGTTTGTTTTTTGAGATGGGGAGTCTTTCTGTCACCCAGGGCTGAGTGTGATGTGATCTTGGCTTGCTGCAAACCTCCGCTCTCCGGGTTCAAGCAATTCTCTGTTCTGCTTCTCCTATGAAGTGTAGATTACAGTGCTACACATGTCATAGGCTAATTTTGATTTTAGTAGAGATCAGTTTCACCATTTTGGTCAGGCTGGTCTCGAACACTGACCTCAGGTGATCCACCTGCCTCGGCCTCCAAAGTGCTGGGATTATAGGCATGAGCCACCGTGCCCCCGCCCAGTATGTAGTTTTAATGTTAACATTGAAAGTGTTGAGGTTGCAGTCAATGTCATTCTCATTTGCAGCTGTGGGAGGAAGTGTGATCAGTCAGGAAAAGTCTGAGCTTGCTCAGGATTCTGAGCATCAGCAGGAGCCACGTCTGGGTACTTCCTCATGGCTGTGGTTTTGGAGTGGGTTAAATAAATAGCTTGCTTTGCTGGGCTCCATCATTTTGGTGAACTCTGATTTTCTTTATTTGAAGACAAAGGCCATACAGCAGTGTCAGCTGTATCGACTGATTTAGAAAATAAAACGATCACACTGAGAAAACTCCTTCTTTAGCATGGCTAGGATGTAATCACCTCGTAGTTGCAGTGGTTTCAAGAATAGGGTGTCTGCTTCTAGGGCATTAGACAGAGAAGCAGAGCCAGAATAGCAAGAATTTTAATTTACACTGGTACAAAATGGAGCGCAAGTTGTGCTCCTGGAAGAGAGGCGGGCCAGTGCTGTTTGGATTTTCTTTCTGCTTTCATTATCAAGATCCCACGCTTGGGAACAGCACTGTAAAACTGCTACTTGCCAAGGGGGAGGCCTTCCTGGCTGCCTGAGCCAGGGGGAGGGAGGCTCCCTCTGCTTGCCAGAGCTCATGAGAGTACCCGCCTCCCTGGAGGCCAAGGAGTGGCCTGGGAAGGCTCTGGACCTGGCCTTGGTCCTGAGGCTCACCCCACCTCATGCTGACCAGGGCAAGTCAGCTTCAGGAGGAGCTGCCTGAGCCATTGTTTCACGGGCATGAGGTTTTGGCTCTGTCTGATACAATGGTCACTGTGCAGCTGTTTACTTGGTCTGGGACAGACAGAGCCTCACAGGAAGTTAAAGAGAAAACACAGGCACCCATGCCACTTTAAAATATTTTTTGTAAGAAGACACCTGGTAACCTTTCTCTGAGTTCCAGTTAGCTTATGAGATGAAATACAGCCCTCTGCATTATTTTTTCTGGGTATTGACATTGGGCTTTTATGTTTGGATCGACCATGCAATGTATATTTTTTAAATTGAGAAATTTTTAGAAGGTCTTTTCAAGACATTGGAAAATGTGATTCTTACTTACTGGGAACTTCTGACTATACATACAGACAGCACGTGAGCTGTTATACTTTAAACATGAAGCATCTCTGATTTTATCACCAATATTGCTTTACAGTGGGCCCAAGATTTTCCTCCCAGAAAATTTCCTGCTGCCTGCCCCAGAATATCCAGTGTATTCTTTTTCTGTTCCCACCAGGAGTTTGCATGCTTATAACATTTTAAGCTTGCCTTTGTTTATCTGGTGAATTTCCTGGCTAGCAAGGAAATTCATCATTACACTTGGGTCCAAGTAAGGAAAAAAGAACCTTTTGTATTTTACTTTAAATCTATATATGTTGTTGATTGTTGTAGAGAGAGAATGGCCAGCAGATATGTTTACAAGGATGATAGAATATGTACATGGGTGTTATATATGTATCTATTTGAAGTGTATACATGTAAGCTTTAATATTAAAGTATCAACATAAACAGAGAGAATAGCATACTAAAAACCCTCCTGTACCCTCACCCCATTTAACCCGCACAATTGCCAGTCTTGCCTCGTGGTGACTTCGCCGATCTGGCAAGCTCTCACGGCCTTATTGAAGCAAATGCCAGAATCATTTAATCCATAAATATGTTCCAAAAAGTTATGACTTTTAAAAATAATTCTAATCCCTGTACCTCTACTTACTAGGTACTGTAGTCCAGTGAGCTCTTGCATTTCTTCAGGTGTTTGGGTTCAGCTTGGGCCACAGAGTGCCTTTGATTGATGTCTTTTCTTTTCTACTCTCCCTCCTTTTTTTTCCCCCTGACAGCTTGTTTGTTGGAGAAAGAATTGAAGGTCCCCATAGAATTTCAATGCGCTCTTTGCTGCTGAAATTCATGTCACTGAATATGTTCCTCTGTCCCCTTGGTTATTTGAAAAAATGGGTATAATAGTTTGAGAGGCTTGATCTGATTCAAGTTCAATTTCTTCTTTTTAGTAAGAATGTTTTTAGGTGGTGGTATTACTTCCATCAGGAGGTACCACTCTCTGCTTGTTTCTTTTTGTGGTGTAACGATGATCGGTAGGTTCTATCTTGTTAGCCCAGTGCTTTGATTTATATTAATAA